TCACAAAATTAAAAGGGGGGAGCTGGTACCCCGTGAAGGGTACCCCCAGAAACATACTCAATCATGCCCTGTTTATCCTTAATTTTTAAAATTTGGACAGTCATGGAAAATCTGCTGCTGACCGTTTCTGGCATCCTGAATCTCAAAAACAGTTTGCAATGGTAAAATGGAAAGATCCACTTGATAATTCATGGCATGGCCCCGATCCAGTTTTAATTTGGGGAAGAGGCTCAGTATGCATCTTCTCACAAAAGAATGATGCAGCCAGATGGCTGCCTGAAAGATTGGTAAGACAAATAAATCATAACCATTGTCAGTCCAGGGAAGATAAATCTCCCTGAGAAGTTTCTTCCTTTTTGTTTTTCAGGAAATGAAGCCTAACATGAGATTCCTTTGGAGAATAATCGCTCTACATAACATAGTGACAGTCTATGCAGGTTTTGGTGACCCTCGTAAAGCAAGAGGATTACTATGAAAACAATACGGCCAGCCTTGTGACTGCAGAGGGGGACAAATATCTGAACCTCCGTCAGACAGAATCACCCAGGTGACTTGCTCGGGCAAGACAGCGTACTTAATGCCAGACCAGTCGTGGAAATGAAAAGTGCTGTTTTTACGCCAACAAATCCGGAATCGTCAGAGATAAGATAAAAACTTTACAAGAAGAACTAGAAAAGCGCAAAAAGGGCCTGGCCGCCAATCCATTGTGGACGGGACTCGATGGACTTCTCCCCTATCTCCTGCCATTTCTTGGTCCTTTACTTACTCTTCTACTCTTCCTCACTCTCGGGCCTATAATCCTTAATAAGCTTATGGCATTCGTCAGACAACAAATCGAGGCCTTCCAGGCCAAACCTATACAGGTCCATTATCATCGCCTTGAGATGACTGAAAATGGTGAGTCTTATTTACCTCAATAAGACCACCTCCCCTGTGTGCTGAACTGGACAGTCAATGACGGGTAAGAGGACACTATCTCCACCGGAGCCTAAGACAGGAGGGCCGCCTTTGCTGCTGCCTTATCCCATGACGGGCCTAGAAGGTGGGGATGAGTTGACCCAACCTAAGACAGGCGCAGTTCCCGGGGGGTCATTTTCTTGTCATAAAGCAATAAAAAGGGGGACCTGTCCGGAGCTGCGCGCCCCGGCCATAGCGAGTAATTATTGACGATTAGATGCCTGAGCTCTATTCATTTCCACCTCTCACCTCCTTCCCAGATTTGTCTTTTCCCTGTATTAAATACCTCGCACAAGATGGCGCTCTTCCTGCTTCTTCTTCACCCATCTTTCCCGCAAGCGCGAAAATTGTTACTTCGTAGCAAAATTGTTACTTCCTAGCGCAGGCGCAACATGACGACCCACCGTTGAAACCGAAACCTGCCTGGCCGTGCCCTCTGAAATGAGATCATTTCCGCCTTGGCCCAACCCCTTCCTCTCCAAGTGTATATAAGGCACTGCATTACTGCCATTAAACGAGACTTGATCAGAGCACTGTCTTGTCTCCATTTCTCGTGTCTCTTGTTCCCCAAATTCCCACTCCCTCCTCCAGGGCCTGCTTCGACGATCTCGCGGGCCGGGATAGCCTGCAGTAAATGAGGCAGAGATGCTGGAAATTCCTTGGCAGAGGAAGGGATCTAAAACTTCAGAGAGGTAGGCATGTTAGAACTGATGTATTGTGAGACACCAAAGAACCACTAGATGATTATGTTTCCCAGGAGGACCCGGAGAATGCTCTCTTTAATAAAGCAATAAGGAATAAAACATTCATAAAGGAGGCACTAGCATCTTGAGAAACTCAATGTTGTGTGTCCTCTGTAGGTCAAGGTTGATGGTAGGAGATACTCTCAGAAACTGGGCTCCCTGGTGTCAATATAAATGATAGGATCTAGAATAGCCAGATGACAGCATAAAACTGTTGAAAGGTAGGACTGATGAAATTAGCTGCTGTGTTAATTTCCACAACAATCTTGTAGGGAGACAGGTATACTCAATTACCCTAATGGGTAACAAGGCCACAGTGACAACCAGCGAGCCTAAGACTAATAAACTATGGTATCCTAGCAACAACATACATTAAGGTGTTGTTTGATTAATAATCTGAAAAAGACCTTGGGTTGGTCAGCACATGATAGGAAATCATGATCTCTTGTCCCGTTTTAAGAACTAAGGCCATTTTAAGACTTAGAATACACTGATTAAAGGGCCACGTCCCCTTGAGGAAGTTCCTGCAATGCTGTACCAAGTAGTTAAAGTAGTTATTCACAGTCTTTCCTCAAGTTGCTACTCGCTACATCCTGCAGTGATTTGTGTCTTCCTCAAACACTTAAAGGATGTAGGAGTGATGCTCCCCATGAAAACCCATTCAATTTACCAGTTTGGTCCTTGCTTAAACTAGACAGATGATGGACCTTGATCACCTGGACATTCTGGTCATTGTTCCACTATTTTGATGAGACCATGCCAAGTGGACCTGGTGCCAGGAACGTGACTAGAGTTCTGAATGCCTAAGTAAGGCATCTGCACCTCAGGTGATGGAAGATAAGCCCTACAAAGATTCAAGGGCATGACACATCTGTGAAATTTTTAGAGATGCAATGATCTAGACCAGGGATTGCCAAACTATGGCCCATTGATCACATCCAGCCTTGGCATGGTCTGCAAGTTAAGAATGGTTTTTACTTTTTTTTTTTTTTTTTTGAGAAGGAGTCTCACTCTGTCACCCAGGCTAGAGTGCAGTGGTGCCATCTTAGTTCACTGCAACCTTCACCTCCTGAGTTCAAGCAATTTTCCTGCCTTAGCAGTAGAATCCCGAGTAGGTGGGATTACAGGCGTGCATCACTATGTCCAGCTAATTTTTTTTTCTTTTCTTTTCTTTCTTTTTTTTTTTTTTTTTCAGACTGAGTCTTACTCTGTTGTCCAGGCTGGAGTGCAGTGGCATGATCTCAGTTCACGGCAACCTCTGCCTCCTGGGTTCAAGCGATTTTCCTGCCTTAGCCCCCCGAGTAGCGGGGACTACAGGCGCAATGTCACCATGCCTGTCTAGTACTAGAGATGGGGTTTCGCCATATTAGCCAGGATAGTCTCCATCTCCTGACCTTGTGATCAGCCCACCTCCGCCTCCCAAAGCGCTCAGATTACAGGCATGAGTCACTGCACCTGGCCTAATTTTTGTGTTTTTAGTAGACATGGAATTTCATCATGTTGGCCAGGCTGGTCTCGAACTCCTGACCTCAAGTGGTCTGCCCACTTCGACCTCACAAAGTTCTGGGATTATAGGTATGAGCCACCATGCCCAGCCAGTTTTTACATTTTTTAATAATTGAAAAAAATCAAAAGAACAATAATATTATATGATGTGAAAATTGTTTTAAATTAAAGCTTAATATTATAAATGAAGTTTTACTATAGCATAGCCATACTTATTCATTTCCATATTGTCTATGGCTGCATTTGAGATTCAACAGCAAAGTTGAAGAGTTGCAACAGAGACCATTTGTGGAATCCTCATCACTTCCTACTGCTTCTCAGTGAGTCAACTTGACAATGTTTCAAGTGCCAAGCATATTTGTTTTACTTTTATTTTATTTTATCAGTGCATATCTTTCATGTCAAAACAAGAAAAGTCCACTTCAAATGTTGTACTTTTAAGTTATTGTGTATCTGGCTTTTTGTAAAAAATTGAATTATATCAGAAAGCATGTGTTTATTATGCACTGACACTAAAGCTGTGCTAAAACAGCACAATATATGTCAACATTGTCAGACTAAGCACTCATCACAATATGTCCAACTCACAGGAAAGCAACAGGCAGAAAAATTAGGAAATTTAAATAGAATATCTTATTATAGTGAAATTTCTTCACAAGAATTACAAATGTAAATGAGGCTGCAACCAAACTTAGTTTCCAAGTGGTTCATTTGTCAGCAAGCAAGGAAACCCATGTATCAATGGTAAGCTAATTAAATTGTGTTTTTATTAGCTGAAAAAATGGGTACACAGAAAATAAATTTGTTCAAGACTGTGAGCTTTTTGGTAAGAAAAGTTGATTGAAGAGTTGAGGACACTGGGAGCAACATCAATAGTTAGTTAAAAACAAAGTTAATTGTTCTGAGTATCTTTCCTTGTCTCTTGTTGAATAGACAGATGCTACTGATACTGCTCAGCTGTTGTTTTTTACTTGAGGTATCAATGCTAAGTTTGAAGTAACTGAAGAATTAGGTTCTATGAATACTCTGTATGGAACAACTACAAGTGAGAATAATATTTTCAAAGAAGCTGGTAAAATTTCTAAGTCAGTACAACCTGAAGTGGAATCTGCTAAGATGTGCTACATGGTGGTAAAAATTTTTGTGAAGCAGACAAAGGCTTACTTGACTCATTTAAAAGCTTGTGAAAAAGTAAGATGTTAAAACCTGTAATCATTCATTGTATTATTCATCAGTAGGTACTTTGTATAACATGTTTGGTTCTATCATATATTATTGAACAGGCCATGTCCAAAATGGACCTTATTCACTTTTGTGGTGTAAACATCTGCAATTCTATGATTTTTTATCAAAAATAGAAGCTGAATATCCTGAATTGCTCTATCGACAAGAGTTTAATGGCTTAGCAGTGGTAAAGCTTAATTGTGATTTTCTTTGGTCTTAGCTCAGGCTGAAATTAAAATTTTTCTAAACAAGAAGAGCTACTCTCAACCACTGTTATTCTAGTCTGAATGACTTTGGAAATTTGTTTGCTAAATTTTGCTAATTTTTACTTGTGACATGGCAAGTGTTCTTATTTTTTAAAGCTATGCACTGTCATCGACAGATAAAAGGATATGATGTTTAGGATTTGTTTCAAAATAATCAGGGATGTAAAAAAGTACAGATGAAATAATATTGTCTGTAAATTATACTAAAGCTGAGTATGTAAACTGCATTCAATACACTATTCCTTCCAGCTTTCTATATGTTCACAATTCCTATAATGAAAAATTAGAAAAAAATCAATATCCATTATTATAGCTGACAAAGAAGGAAGTCATTTTATAGATAGGTTGGCCTACAAAGATGTTCTAAGAATCAAGAGACAACCAGAGTAGTCATCAAAGTGTCCAGTATGGTAGCCAATCCTTCAGGCAGCTGAGAGCCTGGGAGTCACTGCAAACTGGCTTGGAGCTAATGAGTCACATGGGATTTAAATCAGAGTGGGGCAGGAGTGAGGCAAGCAGATGATTTAGGGTGAGAAGAAATAAAGTGTCCACTGAATAAGTAATGAAAAAAATCTCTAGAAATCCTCTAGCTTGTGGGAATTAACAAAGGAATACCTCTGGGTTGGCCAAAGACCCAGCTGACTGAAAATAGTGTGATCAAAAGCCAACTTACCTAGGAAGTAGACATGCAGGGATTTCTAATTTCCTGGAGTAGTATGGGAAAGTAGAGTAACTAACTCCCAAAATTTTTTACAAACTCAGAAAGGAGTGAAGAGAAGTTGGCTTTGGAGAACTCCTGGATGAACATCTTGCTTACAGAAAGTTCACATGGAGAATCAATGGCAGGAAAGGTAATTGCTACATGCGGTGTGCTACATGTGGTGTGCTCATTTCAGACAATGAGCACACAGCAACATCCAGGATGTTCTCTTGCCTTAGAAGGAATCACAACAAACTGTAAAATACCAGGAATGGGGAGATTCATCCAGTGGAGATATGTTGGGGCAGTCACTGAAGGAGTGAAAATAGCTGCCTGGCTTGAGAAAGCCAGCTATTTGAAGCCATTCTCATCTAAAAGTATAGATTAGCAAGTTCAAAGTTATAATCTCCACTCCATCTCCTACAGTCATTGTGAGTTATTGTTTTTCTTCAACACTCAAGTCAATTCAACCAACATTTTGCTGACACTGTATTGGGAAGTGTGGAAGATAAAAAATATGTATTACCAAAACCTGGACACTAACACAGGGACACTCATCTCTAAGTGGATTAATGTAAATGGCCCTTGCAACAAATTGGCCCTGAACTCCTTGACCTTCAGCTTTAATGTCCTTCTTCAGTCTTTTTCAACTACACACAACCATAGCCACTTCTTTGGTATTATCCTCCCTTGTACTCCTCCATCATCAAGATCTCAAACTCTGAAATTCTTTTAGACTACAAACTATTATTCTTCTGTCTTGTTGGTACCTAGCAATTTTTTCTCTTTGCCCTCGTCGTGAACTCCAGACCCCTTGAATGCTTCTATCCAAGCTGTGTCTTGGTTTCACTTGCCCCCTTCCTAGCCTTGACACCGTAGACATGCAAAGCGACCAAAGACCACTAGGTGGCAGTAGAGCCCCAACTAGACTATCGCCCAGCTTGGGCACCAAGTCAGATAATTAATATTTATAATGAAAGCCTCAAGTTTGAAGGGGTAAGACAATAGTGGAATTAAACAAACAATAGCGAGTAATACAGGGAGGTCAGTGAGCTGGGGCCAAGAAGATCTTAAGCCCCATGCAAGTGTAAACCAGACAAATGGTGAGACCTCAGCCACTGGGGAGATGACAGGGTACTCTCAGGTTCATTGTCTATAATCATCTCCTATCTGTCTACATGGGTAGCCTTTCCCCTGCTTTGAAGCATTTCCTGCTAAACAACCCTTAAGGATTTTCTATTTAAAGATCAGTTAATGTCACTAGGCCTCCTGGAATTCTTTGTACTTAGGCAATTCCCAGCACTAGAATCAACCTTCTTATTTCTCTTTCTCTGGGCAGCCAGGTGCTTGGCAGAAAATTACAAAAGTCTGCACAGTGACTTAATTCTAAATGCGTGATATGTAACCTCAGCGGTGACTTCAATGCTCAAGTTTCATTCTTCATTAACTCCCTAGGGGATTCCTTGTGGAAGCATTCTAAGCCTTCCCCACTCCCTGAAATCCCTTACCACATTTCAGCTTCCCCAACCGCAGCAGTTGAGCTCACATCCTCCTTTATCTAGGAGACTGAGATCATCCATCCTGTCCTCTCTGAAGCCCCTCTCTACTGTAGACTGAGCACAGGAGCTACAGAGTCTTTCAGGGTAAGTGTACAGAGTTGGATGGAGAAGACAGAAATTCCACCCTCTTCAACAGAAAGTAATGAAAATGGGTATCCTGTATCTCATCTCTGAATCAACTTACTCCCCCAAAAGATGTTGCAAACATTACTAACTGGAGCGTTTTCTAAATCATAGGAAGGACCCTGAGGTGGCACCTTTTACAAATTTTATCTGGAAAGGCAATGCTTTTAAACTATCCTCCAGCAAAATATGCTCCTGTCATTAAATTTCAACTGACTTTATCCTATCCCGATGACATGTGGTTTGTGTATTCAGTCCTTCATTTGATAAATACTTACTTTAGAGCCAAGCCTCATAGCCACTATGCATACTGCCAAATACAGAGATGATGGAAGACTTGTATGCCAGATAATGAATATTGAAAGGGACGAATCATTCATCCAGAATTCATGAGAATCTCCCTCCACAACTATCAAAAGAAGATCCACCCACTGGGTTGCAGGCATATGGCAATGTGCTCTGTCCTTATGATGGTAAGTGCCTCAGGCTTAAGTTATTTATTATAATCACTCTTCTGATATGCAAATCCTTTTCAAAGGCTTTCTGGCTACTGAAAAGATCATATATGACCAGCAGGTGCACATATGTTTCAGTCGGCTTGATGGATGTATCTCTCTGAATAGTTACGTAAGTAAGATTCCACTATATTTATCAGTTTTTTAAAATGCTCATTTGATATCTGGGTCATTTCCAATTAAAAAAATTATGATATGAAAAAACATGGTTCTAAAACTGTGAAATGACTTAATCTATAAAATATTAACATCCAACAACAGTTCAGAATTTCTTGCTTCCTAAATTTTCACTAAAATTTAAGATTATTAGAAATAAAAATTATAATTAATAATTCTATAAATTGTATTATAAAAATAATTTTATGTAATTTAGAAGTTATTTTAAAATTATTTATTTAAAAAGGAAAAGAAAGCAATATAAGTGGGGGAGGGAGATGTGAAAAAAGTTATGAATATAAAGGTATATTTTTTAATAAAAAGGTTATAAACAAAAGAAAATAATTTTGTATAAAAAAGAATCTTATATGTTAAATAAAGTAAAATGACATTATTTAGGAACAAGCGAAACATAAGACAAGTGAGAAAGTCCAAGCATGTTGTAGATGGTCTATATAAGTTATGAGGTTCATGAAAGGAAATTTATAAAAGGATTTTGTGTGTAATTAAATTAGCTATAATTAAAAGGAAATTATTTAAAATAATCTTTCTAAGATTGGTTCCCTATTTTAAAACAAGGTTTTCTTAAGGTATTGATTTGCTTTTAATGAATTACAAGAATTTTTTTCTCTTTTTTTTTTTTTTGAAACAGGGTCTTGCTCTGCTGCCCAGGCTGTAATGCAGTGACATGATCATAGTCCATGCCACTTTGACCTTCTGGGCTCAAGCAATCTTCCCATTCCAGCCTACTGAGCAGCTGGGACTACAGGTGTGCACCACCATGCCTGACTAATTTTTTTTAACTAATTTTTTTTTTGTAGAGACAGGATCTCACTGTGTTGCCCGGGCTGGTCTCAAACTCTTGGGCTCAAACAATCCTACCCTGTTTAGATTGGGATTGTTGGGATTATAGGCATAAGCCATTGTGCCCAGTCAAGAATTTTTTTTAATTTTATATTTCTATAAAATATATTTATATTTTAGAAAATAATTACCTAAAATATAAAATATATTTAGATTTTACATTTCTAGAAAATAATTTTTATATTTCTTTTGAAAATGTCTCAGAATCATATCTCAGAAGTTTAATTTTGCTGTGTCTCACTGCTCTCAGCTTCTCTCCTTGGGGAGGCCTGAGATGATGACTCTCTCCTTCAGCTTTTTCAACGTTTTCCCTCCAGTTCTAATTTTTGTTGTCTTGGCTTTTCTTGATATGTCTAAATTTTTCATTGTAATCAGGACCCTTCTCATACAGTTATTTAGAATTACGTAGTCCCCTGAGATCACACCACTGCACTCCAACCTGCTGACTGATTGAGACTCTGTCTCACAAAAAAAAAAAAAAAAAGAATTATGTATTCCCCTGATATACTCATAACCTTGAACACACTCTTCCTGTGATTGATTAAATTCAAGTACTTTTTGTTCATTGGGTTTAACTCCTGGTTTACCTAAATGGGCCTCCCATAAGGAGAAGCACTCACACTGCAGGCTTTTCTTTGCCTTTCTGGTAACTGGTTTAAGAAACAACATATTATGTTTTATCAAAATAATTCCTATGTTGTCTTTATTGGGTTTTTAATTGCTGAGGTCTGAAGGGTTAAGGTTCTTACATCTGTGTAACCTCCTGTATTGCCCTTAAAGTCTTTTGATTATCACTTTGGCTGAATGAATAACTATTATTTTACAATGACCTGTTGTTCTATTTTGATAAAATGCTTTAAGTGTTTTAATATCTTTGACAAATGTCTTCAAAATTGAATCCAAAATTAAGTTTCTGACTTGTTGCTTGGGTTTATTAAAGCTATAAAAGTAATCACCATAAGGCTATAAAAAATTTTTGCAAGACAGCCCATTAAAAAAAAAGATAAATTTTTTTTGCAGCTTTCAATCAGCTCATGGACTCCGTTATCACCACCTCCAGGTGCTATTAAACCCAATCCTTTATCAGGTGTTATTAACTAATCCTTGTGCTGCTAAGTCACAGGGCTTTGACTACTGGGTGGACATACCTCATCCAGAGAAGGCACTGACTCCTACCAGTATCTGACACCAAATCCAAGTTAACTAAAGCCTTGTCTTTGCACCCAAGCAAAAGAGACAATCAAAATTAGGTGCTTTCATGAGACACAGGGACAGGCCGACATTCAAAACCATTAAGATTGATTTAATAATTTTGCCTCTCTCTAAAACAATTTGTTATTCTATACCTTGAGAGTAAATAATTTAAATGTTTACCTACCCTTAATCTGCCTTTTCTGTCATTCTCAGAACTAGTCAGGGCTTATGACATTTTTATTTAAAACTTTGCTAATTCTTTATGTTTGTTTTTACCTCCCAAATCTAAAACTACTCAATCCCTCCAGGCCCAGGAAATATTGCAGGAGAGGTGGGCATATGAGATTGTAAGGGCCGGATTTTGAGGGATAAAATTAATTTAGACCCTGAAAAGCAAGGACAGGCACACAGATGCCTAAATAGTTGAACAAAATCCTTGTGTTTCATATAGCCAATTGCCACAAGCCAAGATTACAGTAGCTCAATGCATAGAATTTGTAAATAAGTAAACTTAGCAAATTTGCCTTTAGGCTTTTGGGTTTTGGCTCTTCTATTACTTTTTTTTTTTTTTTTTTTGAGACGGAGTCTCGCTCTGTTCCCCTGGCTGGAGGGCAGTGGCGCGATCTCGGCTCACTGCAAGCTCCGCCTCCTGGGTTCACGCCTTTCTCCTGCCTCAGCCTCCCGAGTAGCTGGGACTACAGGCGCCTGCAACTGCGCCCGGCTAATCTTTTGTATTTTTAGTAGAGACGGGGTTTCACTGTGGTCTCGATCTCCTGACCTTGTGATCCGCCTGCCTCGGCCTCCCAAAGTGCTGGGATTACAGGCTCTTCTATTACTTAAAAGAAGTTTTAAAAGTTAATGAGTGCCTGTCCACCTCCATTCCCATCTGGCCTAAACATTTGATTGGCTGTAAGTCTTGACTCTAAGTCCCGTGGCCACAGAGTTCCTTCCCACCAAGGGACATAATGGACCAGGACAGGTAGCTCACCACCCCGGCATCAATATGAGACAAAGAAAATGCTTGGCTGTTAATACTGCCTCTGGCATACCTTAACAAAAAAAAGGGGCAATATAAACTTAAAAAATAAAATTCTAAGACCCTCAACAAACTGAATGGACCCCCCTTTTGGCCTTGTAAGACTAACAAAACAGGCTCTCTAGCTGTAAAATATCAAATCATCACATGACCTATGACCATACCAGGCAAGGATTAAGTCACACACTCCCACACTAAACGAGGAAACTATGTTCTTCTTTTTCTTTAGCAGCCAAAAAAAGCATCAGCCTCAAAATAAGCTGATTGATTCCCAGCCCCTGTTCCACCAGCCATAACTACAGCTTTAATTAGTCAAGAAACTAATTGCAGTAACTTTTTCCTGATAAAAGACCACCAACCATGGCCAGTTCTGGCCAGTTTACATAAACCACACATTTGTGTGCCTTATGTCCTAAAAAGACCTTTTGACATATAAGGCCTAAATGCAGTACATTTAAATATTAAGTTTCCACCTCAAAATAACATGGGTCAAAAATGCATACTTGTTCAGTACCCACATGTCAGGACCATCTTCGTATGGGCGCTGAATATGTATGTTCAGCCAGGTTCTTGTCATATCCCCACAGGAAATCTGGGTACAAACAACAGCGAGGAACATGCACTGTAATTAAGACTAAATGTTTTACATACTTTCCAGATTGCTCCAAAAACACATCTTCAGCCCTACAAGGCATGCACAAAACAAACTAGTGCTATGTCTAATCGCACAATGTCTTCAAATCATATGGCTTTAAATATCCTAACGATAGCCCAAGGCAACACTTGTGCATTAATTAAGGTTGAGTCTTTTATGTATATACTAAATTATCTTCACAAGCTACACAGGCCTTAAATACCCATATTTCTACTATAGATGCTGTCTCTTAAGACCTCGTGACAGCATGGTTTAGTCAACTTCCTAATACATGGAAGACTCTCACATACAGTATGATTGGCCTTCTGCCCCTTATTGTTTTCCGTTGCTACGGATTTTATTACTGTTGTATACTTTATACAGTAATGTAGGACGAACTTGCTCAAACTTGCTCAGGTCCTTCCACCATAATGCTCCAACAAACCCCTACTGTAAGTCCAGGGGCTCGAGAATATTTCCAATTCCAGGTAAACAGATTCCATTTCAGTACCCATTACCTACACCCCTTCTCAGCAGGAAGTGGCCAGATTGACTATGTCACCCCCTTTCCACAGAAGTAGGATAAAATTTGACCGTGGGGAACTGTAACTGGGCATCTTAACTTCAAAATGCATCTTAAACATTTTTTTTCCTTTCTCTTGGGTTCCAACATATAACCTTGAGGCAAACTGCAGAAGCCTTTTCCCTTAACCTTAAAATGGACTCCATGTCCCTCTCTTTCTCACCAGATATAGGCCCTTCGCATTTATCTAACTGCATGCTAGTGTCTATAATAATTGTGTGCCTTCTTAGAAGTGCCAGGGGCTAATTTTTTAGACAGAAGACCAAGTCTGGAGACCCAGCTACAGAATTCCAGAGATTACTTCAAGGTGACTAGTCAACAACCTGGCCATTGTTAAGATGATGCCAGCCTGAGATCCAGGTGGCCTCGGACCTAAGACAGTCACCAGAACAAGACACACAGGCACTGGAATCAGCACAATTCTTACATGCCTTCCTTATCAAGTATTCCCATTTTGAACTCCTGCTTTCCCCACTAGATTCAAGGCAGTTCCTTTGAATAGGAATCCAGCAGCTTCCCCTTTACTAGTGTTGGTTAATAAAGTCACTTTCTTTCTACCAGACCTCGCTCTTGTTAATTAGACTCTGCAAGCAGCGAGCATGCGTTTGGTTCCACTTCTAGACTGGCAGGCACATGCTAAACCTCCTAAATCAACCACATCCCTTCTCCTGCAGCCCGAAGCCTACAGCTGCATGCTAGCCTCGGAGTTACCTTTTCTGCCAGCCCTATCTCATATCTTGCACAGAAACAGGGCAGGGCTCCAGTGAGACAAACCTGTTAGTTTATCGGCTTGTACAGCTTGCCGGTATGCGTGTGCTGCTTTGTACCTAGTGAATGCAATAATGGGTGAGATTGCAGCTGATAATATGATGATGAAGCAAGTGTTTAAAGTCCTTGTCTGGATGCTTGGTTTCCAGCTTGTAGGTAGAACGGAACTAAGTTACAAAACATTAGGACACACCAATTGCAGTAGGATTTTCTGCTTTAGAATATTAACTGTTTATAAATAAATCAAGTGACGCTAAACAGACAGAAGCTGCACCTTTAATGTTGGAATCAGAGGAGACAAAAGGATCTGAAAGAAGTATTTTCCCGAGATCACTTTTTCCCTTTGCGAACTGAAGCAGAAATTAAGGAAGCAGATTCAAGGGTTCCAGCACCTTTAGGGCTAGCTCCAAATTGTTGCCAAGGAAAAGTATAGGGTTCAGAAAGAGCCTCTTCTGATGTTACATTATCTGAGAGGCAAGCGGAAGAGAGGGAACTTAATTTTTGGTAGATGTGTGAATATTAATACTTTAGGAAGGGTTGTAGTTTCTAACTTGACCAATTTACTAATCTTCTGATTGTGTACTTTTAAGAAAATACTTGGCATGTGGTTTCTTCTGAAGAGTATGCACGGGAGATGTGGGACTTTTTTAAAATAACTTTTTTGGGACTTTTTTTTTTTTTTTTTTTTTTTTTAAATAATAACTAGCACCAGGAAAAGAGGTTCTTAAGAGAAAGAATGAGCTGGGGACATGTGGCTGTTTCTGATTCTCACAAGCCTGCTCTCCTCCAAGACTCCACAGCCCTGGCCTTGGTGGGAGAGAATGACAATGACGTATCTTGTACAGACAAAAGTCAAAATCCCAAATCTGAAGACAGGGTGAGGAAGATGCATCTGCAAAGTCATGGTGCTGGGAACTCAGCCAGCACACTTAATATTTGATCAGATCATATCTGGACATGGAAATCCAAAGTGCAGAGAACCAACCTGTGGAAGTCATTAGAGTTTATTTTTAAAAAAGTAGGACCTCGAATGTGTGTCTGAGGTGATGATTAGAGTTTGATAATGTTACTAAGACAATTAAAAAACCTAAGCTTGGGTGATTTTTGTTTTTACAGAAACCAAAGTTAGATCCTGTGTATTGATTAAGCATTGAATTCCAGGAGAAACAAGAATGATCAGTAAATATTCGCTGTTTATGAAATGTTTTAAAAAACTGTTATAAACCCCTCTTATTGCCACATAAAGGAAGGTCGTTGTCTTTCTGTAATCCTGGGACCACGACAAAACTCTTGACATTTCTGTATACTTTTAAAAACATTTGTCACCTTCTTAATATACTGTAGAAACAAATACTGTTTTTCCGTCCTTCTGAAATTCTGCTTTGCCATTTTGATACCCTGATTGTCTGAGAACTACTCAGACAAGTTTGTTTTTGTTTTTGTTTTGATACAGGGTCTTGCTCTGGGGTTCAGGCTGGAGTGTGTGGTTATGCCTCACTGCAATCTCCACCTTCCAGGCTCAAGAGATCCTCCCACCTCAGCCCCCTGGGGTAGCTGGAACTACAGGCTGACATCACCATGCCCAGCTCATTTTTGTCTTTTTTGTAGAGACAGGGTTTTTCCATGTTGCCCAGGCGGCTCTTGAGCTCGTGGGCTCAAGAGATCCTCCCTCCTCGGCCTCCCAAAGTGCTGAGATGACAGGCGTGAGCCACCATGCCCAGCAAGACCAGTTTTATTACTCACACTGATTTACTGACATTTCTTCCCAGTTAACAATTTTTCCATTTTTACAAACTGATTTGGTAAAGGGGACAGACCCTTATACTTGGTGATTTTTTAAAATGTTCAACATAAAATAAAATGGATTTTAAAAAGAATATGTGAGATTCTTCCCCAAATCATTTCTTTTCAATTCTGCTTTGTATCTAGTTTGTCTCTTTTATTTTCTTTATTAACTAATGATTCTTTTTTTTCTTTTTTTCCTTTTGGATAATTTCAGGAAAAAATTTCAGGAAAAATTGCAGAAATCATACAAAGAACTTTTTTTTCCTTAGTAATTTGAGAGTATTTTACCAACATGATACCCCATCACCCTTAAATACATTAGTGTGCAATTCTTACAAAGACTTACACCTCTTACTACATTTAAACCGTTGAAATGAGGAAATTAATTCTAATACATTACTATCATTTTGTTTCAGACATCATTAAAGTTTTTTCAGTTGCCCCAGTAATATCCATTTTAGCCAAATGATCCATTTTAAAATTATATATTTCATTTATCATGTCTTTTTAATATTACTTGATTTGGAACCATTTCTCAGTTTTTCTGATTTCATAATTTTGACTGTTTGAAACACTACAGACCACTAATCTTGTGGGATTTATCTCATTGTGGGTTTGTCTTATGTTTCCTAGTGTTTAGATTCAAATTATGCATCTTTAGCAGGGATATTGCAGATTTGAAGCTGGATTCTTCACACTGCATGCTATCAAGTGGTACACGATTTCAATTTGTCCTATTGCTAGTAATATTAAATTGATCACTTGATTAAGATTGTGTGGTAGGCAGAATTTTAAGACGTCCCTGTGACCTTGGCTCATGGTATTACTCCCATGATGGCGTTATATGGCAAATGGCTAATTACCAAGGTAGGCCTAATCTAAATAAATCAGGCCTTTAAAAGGAGAGAGCTTTTGAGAGCTGACAGCAGCAAAGAAGTCAAAAGTATTCAAGATGTGGCAGAGATTCACCTCCAGAGAAGCTCTACCTTGTTGAGATGGGGAAGACCCACAGCACAGAACTGTGATTAGCCTCCAGGAAAGGAACACAACCATCATCTGTCAGCCAGCAAGGAAACAGAGACCTTGGTCTAACTGCAGCAAGAAACTTCATTCTGGGAGAAGGATTATTCCCCAAAACCTCCAGAGAAGAGCCCAGCCTGGCCAACACTTTGATTGCAGCCTTGGGAGACCCTAGGCAAAGAACTCAGGGGTACAGCCTGGACTTCTAACTTACAGAACTATAAGACCATAAATGGGCTGTTTCAAGCTGTTATGTTTGTGGTAATTTGTCATGCAGCAATAGAAAACGAATACAAGTGGTATCTGCCAGTCTGTCCGTTGTAAAGTATCTGTTTTTATTAATTAATAAGCATTTCATAAAGAGGTACTTTGAGGCAAGACAGACATCCTATTCCTCATCAAATGTTTACCCACTAGTTTCATCATCCGTTGATGTAACCATGGCAGGCAGATTGCCTGAGCTCAAGAGTTCGAGACCAGCCTGGGCAACACAGTGAAACCCCATCTCTACTAAAATACAAAACATTAGCCAGGTGTAGTGGCATGCTCCTGTAGTCCCAGCTACTTAGGAGGCTGAGGCAGGAGAATCGCTTGAGCCCGGGAGGTGGAGGTTGCAGTGAGCTGAGATCGTGCCACTGCATTCCAGCCTGGGTGACAGACCGAGACTCCATCTCAAAAAAAAAAAAAAAGAAAAAGAAAAAGAAGAAAAGAAAACCACATTACAAAATATAGCATTCGTGTAAGGAAGGCATATCTCAGGACAGACTGAGAATGAAGGAAACATACCAATACATTAAAAATGGCAATCTTTGAGTGCTGGGATTACTGATTATTTTAATTTCTTTTTGTGAGATTTTCTGTTTTCCTACATATTCTACAGTGAAATTTATATTTGGTACTTAGAAAAAAAAATTTGCTTTCAATAACAGTGCCTAAAAATCTTGAACTTTCACCTGAGTTCAACTGAGAAATGGGGGAAAATGTATTAACAAGGTGATACAGTTTGGCTCTGTGGCCCCACTCAAATCTCATCTCTAAATATAATCCCCATGTGTCGAGGGAGGGACGTGGTCAGAGGTGATTGGATCATGGAGGTGGTTTCCCACATGCTGTTCTCATGCTAGTCAGGAAGTTCTTGAAAATCTGATGGTTTAAAAGTGGCAAGTTTCCCCAGTGCTCTTTCTCTCTCCTGCTGTCTTGTGAAAAAGGTGCCTGCTTCCCCTTTACCTTCCGCCATGATTGTAAGTTTCCTGAGGCCTCCCCAACCATGCAGAACTGAGTCAATTAAACCTCTTTCTTTTATAAATTACCCAGTCTCAGGTAGTATCTTCACAGCAAAGTGAGAACAGACTAATACACAAGAGTTTCTTGTATTATGGTATATTACAGTTTTTAAAACATTTTACTGGATCAAATGCATATCATTTTTCACTGGGGAAAAAAGTGCTAAAATATACATCTTTTTGCTTTTTCCCACAGTTTCTTTCTCAAGTTGTCATAGTGGCTTTTGTTTGTTTGTTATTTAATGTCATTTTAAGTATAGAAAAATTAAAATGTTAAGTTTTTAGCATGAGTTATACTGTTTGTCTTTATATTGTGCAATACCAGTTTTTGCAGAGTCACCAACTTTATACAACTCATATTTTGGAGCTCATATATGTGTATATATGTTTTTCTTAGAAGAGTGGAAACACTGTGCAAAACTAATTCAAATTTTTTTTGTTTGTTTTTGGTTTTTTTTTTGGGGGGGGGGTTGTTTGTTTGTTCTTTGAGATGGAGTCTCACTCTGTTGCCCAGGCTGGAATGCAGTGGCATGATGTCCACTTACCGCCACCTCTGACTCCCAGGTTCAAGTGATTCTCCTGCCTCAGCCTTCCGAGTAGTTGGGATTACAGGCATGTGCCACCACACCCGGCTAATTTTGTATTTTCAGTAGAGATAGGGTTTCTCTATGTTGATCAGGTTGGTCTTGAACTCCTGACCTCAGGTTACCCACCCGCCTTGGCCTCCCAAAGTGCTGGGATAATGGCATGAGCCACTGTGCCTGGCCCAAATATTTTTATTTCATTTCCTGATGTGCACAGAGTCTACTAATTATACTTTATTTTTGGCTTACTGGTTGGTAAGGATGTACTGAAAGAAAAATAAACTATGGTTTCCACTTTTCATTTTCATTTCATTTCTTCTACATCATTTTCAGAATATGAGGTGTCTAATAAACAGAGGTAACATAATGAAGGGCTCATGTGATTAAGTGAGGTCCACCCCAGTGATCTCCCCATCTTAACATCAATTGATCTGAAACATTAATTACCTCTAAAAAAAATTTCTTTTACCATACAACATAATAATCATGCCAATGTGATCATGTTCATCACAGATTCTGCCTATTCTTCAAGGAAGGAGGTTACATAGGGCAAGGTTACACAAAGATCACTGGAGGTTATCTTAGAACTACATTTTCTTTGTGATAGAGAATGGCTGGTTATCACTATCAGGGCCTCCACTCAGCCTGGCTATAAAAAGCAAAATGCCCCTAGGCCAGATAGATAAAGGCCCAGTTAATCTCTCCAGTCAGATCAGGAATTTGTTTCTTCCATAAGGTCAGTAAATGTCAACTGTGGAACTAAACTGCTTGAGTCCAAATTTCCTTGTCAGAGAGCACAAATGCAAAGTCATGGTGCTGGGGAAGCTGCCAACACTCACAGACACAACTGAGAATGCTTTGCTTTGAATAAGACAATAAGAATCCAGGGAGACTGGAGAATGAATATATACAGAAACAAACAGGCTACTGAGAAGAGCAGTGGCTAAATGTGAATCAGATTATACCAAGAGATGCTATTTTAGCTACTTGGATGACGAATGAATGAGAAAGTAAGTTCTGATAAAAATGTTGTCTGAGTACAGTGGCTCATGCCTAAAAGCCCAGGATTTTGGTAGGCTAAGGTGGGCAGATCACTGGAGGTCAGGAGTGGGGCACAAGCACCACAAGCCCTGGGGCACAAGCACCAGCCTAGCCAACATGACAAAACCCAATCTCTACTGAAAATACAAAAATTAGCCAGGCATGGTGGCACACACCTGTAATCACAGCTACACAGGAGGCTGAGGCAGGAGAATGGCTTGAACCCAGGAGGCTGAGGTTGCAGTGAGCCAAGATCATGCCACTGCAATCCAGCCTGGGCAACAGAGCGAGATTCTGTCTCAACAAACAAACAAAACTCCCTAAGTATATACTCACAAATATTAAGCATTCAACTACGAGCAGGACAATGTGTCAGACACTATATTGGGTGGAATCGTGTTCCCCCAAAGTCCATTTCCACTCATAACCTCAGATTGGGATCTTAATTGAATATCAAGTCCTTGCAGATGGAGTTAGTTAAATTAAGATGAGGACATTCTGAATTAAGGTGGGTCATAAATCCAGTGACTGGTGTCCTCATAAGAAGGTCATGTGAAAGCAGAGGCAGAAATCAGAGGGAGGCAGCTACAAGCCAAGGAACCTCAAGGATTGCCAGCAACCACCAGACACTAGGAAGAGGCAAGAAGGATTCTTTCCTGGAGACTTCAAGGGAGTATAGCCCGGATGACACCTAAATTTTGGACTCCTGGCCTCCAGAATTAGGCAGGAGTAAATTTCTGGTGTTTTAAGATTGTGGTAATTTGTTGCAGCCACCCTAGTATTACAGGGTGGGTCTTTGTTCCTAGAGCTCCCAAGATGGTGACAGGCCACTCCCAAGATGGTGGCAGCCACTCCCAAGATGGCAGCAAGCCTTTTGTTCTCTGACCTGGGGTTCTTTGCCTCACGGATTCCAAGGAATGGAACCTTGGGCCATGCAGTGAGTGTTAAAGCTCTATTAGAAGCTATGGGTCATGGAAGAGAACTGTGGAAACCAGTGCCTAGTGTTTAGCTCAATTAGGATGAACCCAGGCACTTAGCTGCACAGGAACAATGGTGAACCTCTAGCCTGAACGGGAGCAGCAATGGGCGCCTCACTGCATCACACATGCAGCAGACACCCTGCTGAATCCAGAGAGGTGGAAGTCAACAGTGGGTCTGTGACAGCATTGTTCAGCAGTGGTGGGTGGCGAGCAAAAGCTCAGCTCGAGCCAGAACAAACACGGACCAGAAGAGTGTGCAGGTGCAAGATTTATTAAAGTGAAAACAGAGCTCCCCTACAACAGGAGGGGACCCAAAAAGTGTTGCTGCTCCCTGCTTGAATGCCTGGGTTTATATCCCAATCATTCATTGTTCCTCCTCCTGTGCTCTCAGGCAATATATGATTTGACTATTTCTTTACCTCCCGCTTTTAGCCTAATTTGTATTTTAATGAACCCTCTTTACTACCTGATTGGTTGGGTGTGAGCTGAGTTACAAGGCCTGTGCTTAAAGGTGGGTGAGGTCACCTTCCCCAGCTAGGCAAAGGAATTCTTAGTCGGCTTAGGAAATCCAGGTATTCCTGTCTCTCAGTCCCCACTCTCAACAGGAAAACCCAAGTGTTGTTGGGGAGGTTGGTTGATGACCACTCTAACTGCTTCCCACTGAATTGGGGTGTAGTAGGGATTGTGTAGTTGAGATTTCCTCAGGAGGGGTAGCTTCAATGTCATTAACATTAGAGCATGGGCTAGTAGGCCTGTCCAGGGGTCCACGGTAGATCTTAGTCATGGACTGCATCTGACCATTTGTAGTTTTACAGCTTTGATTCTGGAAGAGACAAACTTAACAAGGAGGTTAAAGATACAGAGATTGAAATGTAGGCCCGAAGTGCAGGGGCATATGGCTGTGGGTGATGAAAGTGGGGTTTCTTTTTGAAAAACTCATATATGATGGGGCATCAATATTTCCAGGAAGCCGCATTCTTCATAGAAGCTCTTGGTAAGGGGAGCTACTGGTAGTACAGCAGCATGGAGGAGGTGCAGTGAGAGTAAAAGCGGGTAAGGGAAGAGTAAAAAAAATACGACAAGGGAAAGCCAGGGGGATCTATGATTCTAGTTACTTTCCTCATGGTTGTCACTTGAAGAGCAGGTGCAGATCCTCTAGAGGTTCACAGGAATAGTTAGCGTTGTCTCCTGGATTTTTGGGTTCCTTTGGCAGTATCCAGGGTTTGACTCAAGTGTGATGTATCCAAGACTCCACTCCAGCCACATTAACCATGGTTGAGGTAGATAAAATGACTGGGTAGGTTCCTTCCCAGGATGTGTCTAGGGATGGGGAATTAGAGGGAAGGGACTTGACTAATACCATGTCACCAGGGTGGAATAATTTCTTTCCCTCCTCTTGGGGACAGGTTCCCCATAATGTTTTA